TTTCTGCTCTGCTGGTTGTCCTCTGTAACGTTTACACACAACGCATTCTGATAATATTTTTCTACAGGCTGAGTTGGCACTAGTAATCCAGTATCTTTCTCTGAGGGCTGAAAGCATATGATTTCTTCCTGCATGTCCCAGTCGCTGATGTAAGTCCTGCAGGATAAGTTTGGATACATGCTGGTTCTTAGAGAGGATAACAGGATGTTTCTGTTCCTGAGAGAGGGCTGAACGACTAAGCCTGCCACCCACTTTCAGCAAACCTTGCTGCAATACTGGATCAAGCCTGTAGATATTGCTCATGCTCTTCACAACAGATGCTCCACTCTGCAAGTCTTTAATTTCTTCTTTGAAGCTTATATGTTGGCTGTAGCGGATTATGGCAGTCTCTGCTCTGGAGAGGTCCTTTACTGTAAGAGTTTGTTTGCAAACAACAGATCTATTCTTTCTCATCTCATCTTCTATCACATCCAAAGCTGTAGAAGAGTCAGCAGAGGGAAGAACAGCCATTAACTCTTTCCTCTTCCTACTCAAGCTCAACAGAATGTCCTTCAATTTGAGCAACCAAGCAACTGAAGTCTTGAGTTTGGTCCAGCTTGAAAAATAATGCACCAGCCTGGTAGTAGAATCGTTTGAATGTGTGTCAATGATGTTTACCAGGGCATCCCTTTTCACCTCTGGGTCTTCAGAACAAACAGGCTGGGATTCAAAAGGCTTTGGCCACTCTTGTTCTGGCCTTCTAAGAAAGTCGGGACCATTTATCCACCTCTGACAGGCCATAAAGTTCTCTGCAGTCAAACCTCTGGAAGCTTCATCTGCTGGATTGGCCTTAGAGTTGATGTACCGCCACTGAAAAACATCTGTAGCCTCTCTTATTGCAGCCACTCTATTTGCAACAAAGGTCTGAAATCGTTTAGTGTTATTATTTATGTATCTCAGCACCGTCTGGCTGTCTGTCCAAAAACATTAGCCTTTTAGCTGAATAGAGAGCTCCTTCTTCAACATCCTATCCACCTTGACAGTCAGTACAGCAG